ATCCTTGCTCTTTATAGTGTGTGTGTATTTTTACGTCATTTGTTGTTATACGAAGCAGAAGCAGAAGCAGAAGCAGTAGAAGGCCCTCCATTAGCGTATTTCGTTTGATTCCCTCAACCCCCCACTGCAAGTGTCCTTTGCCCACGATTGTGTACAGTTTTTAGTGTGTGTTTTTGTAATCCCAAGCGATGATTTTTGTACATTAGTTATTTGGATTTTTCTATTATTATTATTAATTATTGCGATGAAACGAAAAGTGTTAAGAGAAAATGCCCCAGACCCCAAACCTTGAACCTTAAATGAATACCGGAAACACGCGGCAACAAGATGGAATTTATAACCTCAAAATGTTTCACACGAAATCAAATCAATGTTTAAGTTAAATAGTTTTAAGTAAAACAACAACAACAACAACAACAAGCTACAGAATAAGTTCCAAAACAGAAAACAAAAAAACGTTAAGCAAAAAGTGTGTAAAGAAAAAGAGAAAAACCTTAAAAATCAAGATGAAAAATTTACAAAATAGCATTAAAAAAAAAACTGTAAAAGAGCGTGCTTGCGTGTGTGTGTGTGTGTGTGTGTGCGTTGATATATATACAGTTATATATCTTGATTTCCCCGCAAGGATTATGCTTTACTGTACATAATGATTATTACTATAGTTAGTTACTGTGCGTGTGATTCATGCTAGGAATCCTGCGTTTGCTTAGGTCTGAAAGTATTGAAACTCCCCCCACACACAATTCCAAGCCACACCTCACACCACAACCACCACCTTTGACCTTAACAAGATTGAATGTTATTCAAACAAACTTAAACATAAATTCAAATGCAGACAAAATAAATGTTTTAAACAAACCTTCTTCCGTTTTGCATTTCCGCTGCGTGAAAAAGTTTCGCTGACAGTTTTGTGCGCACTGGCTGCACAGTTTTAGCTGCTGCCATCACGTGCTAAGTGTCGCCTAAACTGCGTCAGCAGTTCGGGGCAGGGTGTTTTGTTTTGATGAACTGGCTTACATTCATTTTGATTACTTACACTTTGAGGTCATTAAACCACGTTTTGGGTTGCCTTCGGCAGCAGCTGATTTATCAATTATCACCCGAACAGATGGTTTCAGCTTTACAGTTTCATGTTTATTTTTACACAGACGTAATTACAGTTGTGTGATTACTGGCCAGGGTAGACAGTTGAGGAGTCGCTACAAAAGGAAAACGATCCCACAAAGCAGTTACATTAACATAACAGCAGTGGCCAACAGTCTGACTGGTAACAGAAACTTGGCTACTGCTGATATAACAGTTGGGGAAGTGGTGTATGTATGTATGTAATTACAGTTGCACCTCTGCAGAATCTCTACAGCTGTTATTGCCACAGTTTCAGCATCACTATTCCATACTACAGCTCTACAGCTTTTTATGTTTCGCAATCAATTAGAACAGAATAAAGCTTCTAATTATATTAGCTGCTCAATTATCTTTCAAAAACATTCCCCTCTTAAATGTTAAGTGATTTACACGGCCCTTAATTACATTTTTATGACTTTTCCATCCACTCTGCGGCTGTTCAGCCACCTCACAGTTGAGCATTCACACGTCACGGTCCAGCCACATGATTAGGCCAATTAATTTCGAGCATTAACAAAGTCATTTTTGTGCGTTAAAAAATGGAATTGTTTTGTGCTGCGTGACAGAACAAAATCTTGAAATATTTTCAACGCATTTACCACAACAAATAATTGTAATCGTTTTGTGGCAGCGATCTTTAAGCCACAAATCAAGTGTATAAGCGGGGCTTAAGTCTGACAGTCACAACAACTCAATCTTCAGCTCAACTCTGGCTTATAGAACGCCCAAAAATACCTGGCAGCTACCCGCTCCATTAGCTGGCGGCCTCAATTGTAAATGCAAATTAATTTGCTGCTGTCGACGATTCAAAGTTTACGGATTGGATTTACTTTCGTTGTCGGTTGTCGCTGACGAGTTTGCCAAGTGTTGGCCAAGTGTCCAGCTGTAGGTCATTGCGTTGGCGCTCTAATTGATGTATTTATTTATCACTGAACTGAACGCAATTATGATCTATTTGCGCGCCCTCGCCCTCGTCCCCGGAACTGCGAGTGCGGGAAATGCCCAAGAGAAACGAGTTTCTGCTGCGGCCAAAGTGACGTCAAAAGAGCGCAGCGAATTTTTGCTTTGAATAAAGAATATGTTGGGCATACAAATGCATGGCCTTGAGTGTGGCTGTGAGGTAGGAAAAGTGCTGGAAGAGCTGCTCCAAAATGTGCTCTAAAACCTGCCATCAAAAATAAATAAAAAAATCACAGCTGAATCGGTTTTATTTGCCGCTGCCTTGTTACTGTTAGCTGCAGTGACGTCTTGGGTTATTTCGTAGAGACAGAGGCACGTGATCCGTTGCACGTTGCCGCCGAAAGAAGAGACAAACTTTGGGAATTCCTTTTGCTGCTGCTGGTTCAAGTGCGTTTCTTGGCCATCAACTTTTGGCCTCTGGCTTGCGGAATATTTTGATTATATTTGAAGCTAACAAACGCTGTACAGGTAAGCGAAAGCGATCCACAAAGCAGTTACATTAACATAACAGCAGTGGTTAACAGTCAGACTGGTAACAGCAACTTGGCTGCTGCTGATATAACTGTTGGGGGTGGCGTATGTATGTGCATGTAAATACAGTTGTATTACAGTTGCATCTCTGCATAATCTCTGCAGCACGGAGCTGTTATTCCTACAGTTTCAGCATCACTATTCATGCAAGTGGCCATAAACTTGTGCCCTCTGGCTTGCGGAATTTTTTGAGGGAAAAGTTTGCAAAGCTCTGAGAGCGAGAGATGGCGTGTTGGGCCACCAGACACCTTAATGAATGCGCTAATTGTGGACTAATTAACGACTACAAATCTGCCACATGCAGCGCTCAGCGATTGCTGCTTTGGCTATCATTTTGGCTGTTACTCTGACTTTTGTTACTCTGATAAGATAAGCGGCAACGTGGTGAGCAGCAGGCACTTTGAACTGCTCCAATTAGCGCGGACGTGCCTCCCTTTTTTCGGCGTTCATTGAATGGCACATCGAACGCCAGAGTCTGGGCACAACAAAAGAATTAAAAGCAGCAATTGATGGCGCAGCAGCCACACGCGCCCCGAAAAGATGCGAGAGCAGAGACGACGAGTGGTAACCATGGGGGCAGAGGCTGCGCATCATTGGATCTACGTCACATGTGCGTTGCGGCAACGTGACTATGGTCAGTTCGAGCAAGAAGAGAATCTATCTGAGAGCGATCTTTCCGCCTGGCAACAAGACAGCTGCCAGCTGCCCGAACGCTTTCTATGCCAACTGTGTGGCTGGATTATGAAATGTTTTCTGCCTATTTTCTGCCTGTGAAAGTTGAGGCTTCGGGCATTACGTGAGGTATGCCACATGCCCATTACACAGTCACAGTCACCGCGTTGTCATGTGTCTTCCCCGTTCGAGTTCGTCTTGTCAGAGTGTGAAAATTGTAGCCTGAAGCCAAGGTGACTTTTATGGGTGAAAATCTGGCAATGAAATCGAACAATGGGGCCAGGCCAAGCCATGGCATGTGATCAATGAATGAGCACAAAAATGTCCAAAAAAGAGGCAGATTATCAGCTGGGGCAACAGATAAGCAAAATGCTCTCCCAAGAGATAGCTGCAAAAAGCGCTGAAAATTTGACAGCAAAGAGTGGAAGAAGAACGAAGAAAGAGTGAGGAAACCAACCAAGGGGAATTTACTTACAAGCTGCTGCCGTTGTGCGCTGTGGGGAGCACCAATTCACCACGCTCAGAGAGACATGCGCTTGAAAGGGTTGAAGAAGGAGCTAAGGAATTTCCCCTGGGGCAGTGAGACTGAAGGGAATATTTTGCCAAACAAAACGAAGAAATGATAGAGCCAAGAAATCAAAGCAGTGCTAAGGCTCTGGCAATATTGGAGCCATAAATCCAAGCAGTGAGCAGTCAAAGCAGTGCAGTCATTTTGTATGTATAAATTTGGGTGTATTTTGTTTTTTTGTGCGCTTCTTGGCCACAGCTGTTTGCTGCTTTTGTTTAATTTGATTACAATAAAAAGGGGATTTGCCGCTGAGTCTTAAACCACAGGAATGTGGCACTGGCATCTTTTGTGTGATATAATTTGTAATGCCCGAACTGGCTCTCCAGTCAGGAGAGGCTTCTCGCATTTTGCCCCCCTTGTGGCCGTATAACGGCGCCGGCTGGAATTAACTTGAACAGTCGCCGAACCGGTTGGAGCGCAGGCAGCGCCCAAAAGCCATATTGGGTATTAGCTGGATACTCCCGGCTGCCAGCCAAGAAGCGTCTCGCAGGCGCGACCAGACGGCGACTGTACAAAAATAAGTGAACTGCTTGCAGGGGGCGCTGTTCCTCCCAGTGAGACTTTTTGACAAATTTCAATTATTGTCCAGCCGCATGTAGCCTCTCTGTCAGTGATCAATCGATAGGCAAAGGAACGGTGCAGCCAGCGATCGATCGACTGGCCCTCAGAGTTGTGTCCTTTCACTTGGTCTGGACTTGGCCATAAATTGCCAGCAGTCGGTGCTAAAAATAAAACAGGGCCTAACCTTGAGCGGCTGCCACATAACGGAAAAGGGCAAAAAGCGAAATGTGGTCCTGGGGGCAGAGGCGGAGAGGGGAACGCTGGCCAATTAAGTTTTCAGAGATAAAAGAAGACTCAAGAATCGCAGAAGAGGGAGAGAGGTAGAGGTCAGACCTGGGGCAACAGAATATTTATTGACACATCCTGTATCTGGTGTCTGGTGTCTGGTGTCTGGTCACCCAAGGACACATCGCATAACCAGTCCCGGCTTGCGGTTCTTTTCCACTATAAAAGCTCTCCACTCGCAGCCAGAACAGCATCAGTCTATCCCCGAGAACCGGCAGCAGTAGTCCTTCGAAGTTGTAGCGAAATTTTGGAGCAGCAGCCCAAAAGTCCTACAAGTCCAAGTACCAGTCCCAGGAGCGACTCCCCCCTCAAGATGCGTTTGTTTGTGCTCGGCCTGCTGGCCCTTGGCTCCGTGCAGGCCTTCTCCGTGGTGCGCACGATCCAGCCACAGCCACAGCCACAGCTGCTCTCCTATGCCCCAGCCCGTGGCGAGTTCCCCGTGCTCAGCGGACTGGCTCAGGGCTATGTGCGCTACTTGGATGGCACGGGAGCGGAGCGCCTGCTGGCCTACAACTATCCAGAGCCACTGAACGGCATACGCGCCAGCACGAGTCTGCTGCGTTCCGGCTTGGCCTCCGAGGAGCAGCAGCAGGACACGGCGCTGTTTCGCGCCTGGTGCGAGCAGCGCTACAATGCCATGCGCCTCGAGCTGGAGCGCCTGCGCGCTCAGGGGGTGCAGCCCTCGGCCCAAATGATGGCCCAGTTCGAGCCACTCGAGCAGATTGTCAAGTACTCAGCCTTCGACGCCGTGCCCGGCCTCAGTCCGGAGGTGCAGCGCGCCCGCGATGAGCATTTGCGCATCTGGAACGAGGCGCGCCTGGAGGTGCTGCGCGCGGAGCAGGCCCAGCAGCTCACGGGACACTATCAGCCACAGGAGCAGATTGTGCAGCTGAAGACAACGCAGCAGCAGCAGCAGCAGCAGCAGCAGCAGGCGACGCCCGTGATCTATGGACAGCAGGCGCCACAGCAGTTCCAGATCAAGTCCGCTGAGGCACCGCAAACGCACTCCTACGGACTGAATCCGTTCCTCGTGAAGTCAGCAACGATTACAGGCTACACCCAGGAGACGCCACAGCCCGTGGAGGAGACTCCCGAGGTTAAGCTCGCCCGCGAGCAACATCTCAAGCAGTTCTTCGCGGCGTTGCATCGCCAACCCGAGGCCGTGCCGGAGTTGCCGATCCTCAAGACCATCCCTGGCATACAGCAGCCGCAGCAGCAGCAATCGCCACAGCCCGTGGAGGAGACACCCGAGGTGAAGCTGGCCCGGGAGCAGCATCTCAAGCAGTTCAATGAGGCGCTGCAGCGTCAGCCCACCGAAGAGGCCAACGTGAAGGCAACGCCCCAAGCTACGAGCTACGAGACACCACAAAGCAGCTTCAAGTTTCCCGAAGGCAACCTACAGACGCCGCAAGCAGTGGAGGAAACCGCAGAGGTCAAGCAGGCCAGGGAGCAGCATCTCAAGCAGTTCAATGAGGCGCTGCAGCGTCAGCCCATCGATGTGCAGCAGCAGCCGCTGATTCCCAGTGCGCAGTTTGCACCACTGATAAAAAGCATCGAACAGGTCATTCCACAGCCGATTGAGGACACGCCCGAGGTAAAGCTAGCCCGGGAGCAGCATCTGCAGCTGCTGAACAAAGCCAAGGTCAGGGCCGAGGACAAGCTGGAGGACATCAAAGACATGATACGCCTCGAGGAGCTTGAGCGTGACGAGGAGAAGCTGCGCGAAAGGGAGCGCCAGGTGATGGAGCAAAAGGAAGCGGCCCTGGAGCGACTGCGCGAAGAGGAGCGCCTCAGCCAGGAGTGGCGACTGCTGCAGGCGGAGCAACTGAAAATCGAGGAGGAAGATCGCCAGCGGCTGTATGCCGAGCGGCAGGCCGAGCAGCAGGAGCTGAAGAGCACCAAGAACTATGCCACCGGCTCGGAGACGACAACCAGCGACTCGCTGCCCATCTTTCTGGGTGCATCAGAGGGTGGCAACATCAAGCTGCTCGCCTCCCAGGCAGCCCCAGCTCCGGCTCAGACCCAAGCCTCGACCATCAGCCAGCAGCAGTCGGTGCAGAATGGTTTCCTTTTGCGCATTCAAACGAATCAACCGAATGCCATACAAACATCCACGGCGCCCATAGGTGCGCCAGCGTTTGTCTACACGGACAAGGCGGCTGCGGCGGCCTTCATCCAGCCCCAGGTGCAGTTCTCCCCCGAACTGGAGCTGGCCACACGCGAACATCTGCGTGCCCATGAGATAGCGCTGGAGCAGCTGCGCCTGGCCAATCTGCAGACCCCCTGGAACCCGAACTGCAATCACTAAGGCAGAACCTGAACCCGCAAACAATTGTCCAATTCGATTTCACTTGCATTGCCCTTAGGTTTAAGCAAACGCACTGCTTTACGCACTCACCCCAGCACTCATTATTCACACTCATGCCCACACCCATACTCATACTCGTACACCTGCATAGCTTAAGTGCCAATTCGTAAATGCAATTCAGTTGATAAAACAACGCAAAAACGTGAAGACACAGACGGTGAACCGTAAATGAGAATCATCTGCAAGGGGGAGTGGGAGTGGCGGGTGGCTGGTGGCTGGTGGCAGCGGGGTTGGGTCACAGAGGAAATGGAATGCTTGATACCTTTGTACAGTTACGCGAGAGAACGTTCTCAATTTCAATTTTGGAGTCGCCAGATTGTCGGACTGATCGGCCGATCGTTTAGGAATGCGCATAAAAGGCGCTCAAATGACGCCGTAAACTGGCACAGATGAAGATGTTATCCGTCCGGCACTTGACGCATATATCAAAGCAGTGAGCAACGGTACATCGGATGGTAATGCTGGCTGTCGCACTGCAGCATACCCTGTGGCAGTGCGAGCAGTGCGCTAATTGCGAACTGCTTTTGCAGGATTTTGTTATGAAATTGGAACTAGGCCAGAGTGTGGCGCTGGGCATTATTCAAGCGCATTCGAATGGTTCCTTGAAAAATTGAGGCCTGTTATTTTATTATTCACATTTATTCGATGTCGCTCAATTTTAATATAAACTTGATCTACTTGGGGCAGCGTGTGCGCGCCACAAACAAGAATCTACATACCAAATTTGGTATGGGCTAGCCTAGCCGTTAAAGATTGTTCTAGCTGCCGTGCAGACTGGACAGCTGGACAGCTGGACACAGCCTGGACAGACGGATGTAGCTGCAGTCTAGACTGGGATTATGGGCTCCGTTACATATATCCACTCCGCCGCAATATAGCCTTGTGTCCAGCTAAAGTAGCGGGTATTAAAATGTTGAACAAATTTATACAGAACGGAATCCACTTTGCATCGCATCCCCCCAAAACAGAATTCTGATCGGTGCTGCTCGGTGCTCGGTGCTTTGCGGTTCTGCACTGACCTAGCACAAAAACCGAACACAAACTCGAACCGTTAATCGCCGGTGGAATTGATGAAATTACCGTTGGAGCACCGTCCCTCACCCACTGCTTTGTAGTACCTGTCGTGCGCCCTGCCGCCTGTCTGCCCTGCGCTGATAAGATTTCGTCAGCGATTACGTGGCTCTAGCATGACTAATGTCTGGCGAAAGTGACTAATGAAAGATGTTCCTATGCCTATGGCCATTTATGGACAAGATGTCGGAGCAGATGAAGTGCCACTGCGGATGCCACTGCCAGACATGTGACAGAAATGGCAGATAAGAGCCAGAAGTCATAGAAATTACAGCGGAACTGCCGATGGTTTTTAGCGTCTTCCGAGTCCACAGGTTCAACGCAAATGAATCACTTTGAGAAAAGATTGCCAATGTCTCCTGATGTGTGCCTGTCAGGGTACAAAGTCTAAAGGTGCCTGGGAGGCAGCTGCCATCCCACACAAACCCAACCTTATCGCTGCCTAATCAAATCAATCCCAACTCCCAATTGTAGCGATATCTGTGATCTGATTTGGCTGATGCAACTTGCGGCTACACAAAGCCCCCCCTCCCCCAATTTGGCCTTGTTCAAATGGGATGTGGGGCATTCCGTGTCTGTTCACTCCATGCCGCTGCGCAGTTTCTTTTGTGGGTGCGAATTATTTCCCTGCTCCACAAAAATGTGCTCGATCTTGTGTTTACAATGGCACACGGGGCGGTGATTGCCAAAATTAAATTACCTTTCGAATCGAAATTCGCTGAAAAAATGGGAAATATCTCAGGCATTTGAGAACTGAACTGTGGGCAAGCAATCTCTAGAGCAAATAAATATAACAGAGGGGATTTTTGCAGGTGCATAAAAATAATCCCACTCATCATATGTGGGCGATTCCTTGAACTAGAAATCATTGAAAGAATGGGAAACTTTTCGGTTGAAGGTGTAACATTTTAGACGGAAATATAATTTCTTTTTCGGGTTTACATATTTCAATATTTAACTTATGTATTATTATCGTTTAAACGTTTATCCCTCTGCACACTTTTTCTGTTTGCAGTTTTTCTGCTTCTTTCAGGCGCCAGTTGTCATTCATTTTCTATTTCACCCGAAATCGCACTCGTAATCGCCATTAAATAATAAACTCTACAGTTTTTGGCCTTTTGGCTATCTTGGCCGTAAAAGGCAATGCCACTGGGGGAGTTCCCCCCATCGAGTGCTGGGCAAACAACGGTGATTTTTTCTGTGCCAACTTTTGTTTTTCTCCGGAACTACTGATAAGAAAACGCCCAGAAACGAACAAGAACGAACAGGAATTTGTGCTAAGGTCTCTTTACTTTGATATTTATGCAGAATATTTGCCTTCGTTGTTATTATAAATTTGTTATCGTTGATATTTTTAGCAGGCGGGCAGTTTATTTTTAACATTTGTTGGGTTATTTTTGGTTTTTTGTGTGTGTGGCTTGGATGTTAATGCGACGCAGACGGTAATGAGAAAGACAATGTCAAGTGGTGGCTGGCCATCAGTCAGAGACACAGACGAACGGGTTGAACCCCAGAGCCAGAGCCCAATGCAAACATTGTGTGTAGCTGATAACACCGCTTGCCTCTTATCTACGAGAAAGTGTGTCTCCATGGCAGAATCGTTCTCCTTGAATTCATGTTTGCTCCTACCATAGTTTCGATTGATTTCTTCTGATTCTGATTAGATAGAGTTTAAGTACGGGTATTTCGCCATGTTTGCTGTTCCATTTTGTTTGTGCATTTATTAATAGCAATTCCAGTGGGGCAGTGCATGTAATATCTTTACCCAGAAACAATAGGAAGTTCGTGATGTGGGGAGCACTCTGGCCACTCCATATGGCCGAGTGTTTTGTTACTTCCTTCCTCAATAATACATTTCAGCAATGATAAACAATTTGCCTTGTTGCCAGGTCCGCTGCTTCACAGTTGTCGCATGATTATGAAAGCTGGAACGTGATATGATAGTCACGCGTTTATGATTATCACGTTTTTTGCGATAATTTTTCTGCCTTTTTGGTCTCCAAAAAAACATAAAAACGGCTATCGACGCTGGGGATCTGGTTGGTTTGTGGCTGGAAAAACTGTACCTAATTAGGTGTACACATGCTCCAAATTCTTTAATATTGAAACCTCTTGCAGACAGACAAGCCAGACGTCTGCTGACGTATTAAATAATGCTCAAAAATTGGTTCGCCGCCAAAATGAAAGATTTCCCAGCGGATAAGTCTGCTATTCCTGTAGGAGTAAGCAACCGCAGCAACAGCAAAAGCAAATTAAAATCCGCCCCCAGAACAGAGCACATGTGATATTTCGTAGGTGCCTCGCGTATTGACGTCACAAAGACTCTTCGCTTTCGTCACTGTTGGAGGCAAAGAAGCAGTGTTATAAGATGTGTGTACCAAGTACAACCTGCGGTACATAATTATATCACTTCTTGCGGGGGTTTGGGTTTGGCTTTGGGCATTGACGCTGTACTTCCTCCGTTGTTCTTGGGTTAAGTAAGCGATATGCTCGTAATAATGTTTGAAATGTGCAGTTTCCCTTTTTGAATGTGTTTTGTTTGCTGGAGATCTGGCAAAAGATAACTTCATTATATCCACTCGAGATCGTAAAAAATCATTTTTTACACTGCCATAAAACTCGTATTTATACACCCAATATTTTTGGTCAGGCCTGGGGGTGGCGATGCCAGTGCTGTTGGTTGCTTCAACAAAGGATAAGCCGAGATTCGGGCGACAAGATGTGTACGTATAGCGGTACTCTCTCCAGCCACTGTCTCTGCCTCTGTCTCTGACTCTGACTTTGACTTACGTGAGAAACTTTTATGACATTGACGCAGTTGTCGGTCGCTTCGTTTGCCTTTGCAGCATCTGTTTGGTGGGTGGCACTGACTGCTGGGTGGTTGTTGCGCCTGCTCACTCTCGCTTGCATAACGGTACACGGTTCGCGGCGACACGCTGTGCTGTGGATTACCGGAGCGCCCGTCTTTCGATTTTGATTTGCGTAAGCAGCCAAGACGATGGTGCAGGACATGTGCCCTCACAAATCGTTAAATATGCAATATAACTGTGTTCTTATCGAAGGCACATCAGTGTTCGTGCAAACGTGCTCGAACATGTCGCTGGCCGCTGGGTGGAAGCACCTTGTGAACTTGCCCGTGACCACCCCGGCATCGCAGCCGCAGCCGAAGTCAATCAGTCAGTCAGTCAGGCAGTGCGACATTCAGGTAGTCAGGCGTTGGAGCAGGAGAGGGTGGGGTGGAGATCCCCAGTCACTCGACAGTAATCTTATCGGCGTTTGACTTTGCTTGGCACACTTTGCAGCAGACAAAAGAGAGCGCGAGCGAGCGAACGCACGCAGAGAGTGGGAGAGGCAAACATAGTGAAGAGCAAGCTTTAATTGTGCAAGGTGAGGGTCAGTGCAGCTGCGAGCTTATTGCTCTCTTTCCAGAATGCTGGCGACTATTTTAGGCACCTTCTAGTTCTAGCCGCACATGCACACCACACCCTGCATGCATATACCCTGCTATTCTGTGTTCTTGTGAAATTCATCGCCCTTCCGTTAATTGCCGCTCACTCTCACACACACTAGCGCTCTTCCGTGCGCTTTGCAAAGTGTGGAGAGAGAGAGAGAGCAAAAGCTAGGAAAAAAGATTAATTAAATGAAGTACCTGTCTATGCCTCTCTCAATTACTAATGTGGCGCTAATTTCCCCTGGCTATTTGTTTGTGCAAATATTTAACCTGCTGCTGATGGAGTGGAGCAGGGCTCGCGGGGCTCTATATCAATGGCCGTAACAAGTGCAATTGCGTTTTACCTTCGCGCCGTTATTTGACTGTTATATTGGTCCGCACAATGAACCGAACTATAAATGTTTGACTTTCCGATTAGTTTTACCCACCCATAAAGTGCGATTTGCTCTTGTTCGATTTACCGGATCATGTGAAATGCCAAACCGAACCGGTTCAAACTGTCTGGCTGGGTCGCAGGGATCTGTCTGAGGCGCACTTTAGGAGGCAGCTGCTTTTATTATGTTTTCTCTATAAACTCTTAAATGATATTAAGAAATTGTTTATTTAAAACAGATTTATTTGGTTTGCTTTCTCTGGAAAGCATTCTTAAAACAAATCAAGCAAGCGAAAGTAAATATTTAAATTTCAATAAATTTCAATTGCTCCACATATGATTAGAATTGTGGCGAAACGAGGCCACAAACTTCTTATCAGCGGAACGCGGAGTATCCCCCCGACTGGTATTCTGCGAACTCATGCCTAATACGAGTACTATTTCCACACAGATTTCGCCTGTCAAAGTACACATTGTATAATAATGTTCCCAGCACCAGTTACAACTTTTTATTATTACATTTTTACATTATTTCTGCTGACTGGTATAACCCAAGCAACACCCAGGGGGGGTATCCAGATTTTTAAACATTTCCCCCGAGTAAAAACCCGTTTTGAAGCCATTCAAATTTCATTCATAATACAGCGGCTTTTGTTTTCATATTTTTCTAAGCTGCGGAATAATATTGGACGGGGGGGCGGGGGAGAGTTGGTAGTATCTAATCAATCAAATTGAAGGAATAACAGTGGAAAAGTTCAAAGCATTCAGTGAACTGTGCGGGTAAACAAATATCGAACCATTTGATTAGGCCAAATTATGGAAATTCTGATCCATTATCAGTGGCGTCTGTTTCACTTTCTGTGGTGTGATTCCCTGTCTATGGGCTGCTGTTCGAGGCTGGGAAATTCAGCGGCACGCTTCGTGTCAGTCCAGCTCCATGCGCAGTAGTCATTGTGTTATTCTGCGTAAGTCCCGGGCAGCTGATAATTCTACGCCGCATAATCCCCTGCTCTGGCGCTGAGGCGCATTCAAGGCATTGATAAGGCAGCTCTCAGGCTCTCGTTTTGATTTCCACAGAAATCCGTATAGGGATTTGCGGGGAAAAACCGCCAAAGCAGAGCCAAGAACTGTTTACACAGATACAGATACTTCGTAACAATAACAATAAATAATAATAAAAATATTTTGTATTTTCGTGTTGAAAGCGAATAAGAAAGACAAATAAACGAATTAAAATAGACATTTTTTTCGGCTCAGGTTGAGGCCCCACCACGTCACAGCCGCTGAGCTCTACAGGTGCTATCCGTACATGGGTGGTGCAGGCCATAGGGTGGTGTACGGACCCCACAGACACCACACACACAGCGCGAGCTCATGGCACTCACATGTACAGGTTCGAAACAGCTGAGAAAACTGCGGCATTGTCACACGAACTCAAAAACTAGTTTGCTCGACCAACAGACTGGTTGTAGATCGAGTTCCCCTGAGCATGGGGGTATTTTGTAGTGGGGTATCTATGGGTATTTTGAGCCAGTATTTGACGTACATTTTGCATTGAGAATTATGCTAATTTCTTATCGAGAGAGAGAGAGACAGGGGCTGGCACCGTTTTGATGTGAATCATTCACCTTCGACGACATCGCCGCTGGAGGTGAATCTTTTGAGATTTTGCACTTTGAGCTGGGGCAGCTCCAACTCTCCAAGTCTCGTCCCGTCTGCCTTCACAAAAATCTCGCCCAGTCACGCTGTCAGCTTGGTTCCGGCAAAAAACACACACAGACGAATCTCTGTGCTGGCGCACAGAGTGCAAAGATTGCCGATCCAATTTGCATACATAACAGCAGCCAGCCAGCACCCATACTGTCCCCATTCACTGTCTAACTAAACTTCCCCGTTTCCCGACAGAGAAGCAGCCAACTTCAATTGTTCAGTCAATGGCCGCATGTGCCATTACTCAACCCGGCATGACTTGGCCGGAATCGGTACATGACAATGGAGTGTGGATCGGTGCGCCGAAGTTGTTCTTTGGAATTCACCAAATCCGACTTGGGGGTAAAGTACAGCCGATGATTAAGTGCCGATTGGCTTTAAGGTAAACAAAAGTCGGGCAAATATTAGCTGACCCAAAAGTACATTTAAATTATTAGCAAGTAAATCCCCTCCGTAATGCAATCATCCAATAGTTCAGTTGATAATTGTTGGGGTACTATGCACTAGAGTCCTCTTTGAGCATTTTTGCTACCACGAAGAGTGGAAATGTTTGAGCCGCTTCCCCGTATAAATCGTGCTCAGACATTCCTCCTAACTGACCTATGTCTGGACCATACCCATACCCAAATTCATGTTAATCGTCCTAATCAGTGGCAAACTTTTGTTCCCAGTGATTTTCCCTGTGTTTGCCACGAGTCGCTCACATGCTCTCTGCTCTGCTCTGCTCTGCGCTGCTCTTCCTGGCTGGCCGCCGCATCTGGTCTGCTACTTTGGATTCGTACATTAAGCTAACATTTTGCGATGTCTGGCATTGATTGTATTAACATGTCGCAGCTGCTGCTTAACAGCCATCCATCCATCTGTCTGGTTAGTTAACTCAATTGGCATGATCACGGACCAGACACGTTTGGGTTTAACACTCGATGATATGTGGAAGCAGGTCAAGCAGTGTGAGTGCACAGTGGAGTGCATAACAGAATAAATAAATAGCCAGACATCTCATTAGTATCATAATTGATAATATTTTAGTTAGCTAGCTGCATAATTTGGCACCTGTTGCATAAATCAAGCTCTTCTTCAGACCTCTAAGCGCAACTCAAAGTCGAAAACCAACTGATCGAAATTGTGCCCATTTTCAGCTGCTGTCTTATGGTTGTGCCATGGCTTGGGCTCGTTCCGAGAATTATTTGATAAGGGCCACGGCATATGCATGGCACGGATCGCTGGGGAATGCCCCCAAAAGTCTTATTCATAAGCAGATTAATGAGGGACTTCCATCAGCCAGGCCTTTGCCATGATTGACGTCAATGGCTGGAGAAAACTTGCTGAAATAATTAACCAAAGAAATGACAAGACAGAGGTGGAGTTTTGGTCTTTATATAACATTGTATTTAGTTGGTTCAGTTTTTTTTTTACCAACAAAAAATCTTTAAATTTAATTTGCTTATAATTAAATAACAATTTTGTGTGTTTTTTACATTTTTTCTTTCTTTTATGCCTTGGGAAAAGCTAACATAACAAAACTTTAATTTTTAACATTATTTCGGATGTGCTTTAATTTTTACTGTACAATTTACGGCATGCATCCGATCAGTGTGAACAGAATAATTGCCATTATCAATAAATTTTGAGCAAGTAAAAGTTGTGTGTGTGTGAAGCGGCAGCTGGTCACGCGCTTTTGTGTGTAAGTGTATGAGTGTGTCGCAAAATTACTGCTGCTGCTGCTGCGTCTCTGCTGCTGCCGCTGCTGCTTCTGCTGCTGTTGCCAAAGGGGAAGAGGGACTGTGAGAGCGACTTCCGCGGGTGTTCAGAGGCAGGTTCTACCCGCCCCAACGAAGGTCGCCTTTCAGTTCCAATTATCTGACTCCTCCTCTCGTGTACAGTTATATAAGATTTTACATATATAGGTATGTACATCCTATGTATATGACTGATATTTATATACATATGTATGTACAAGTTATGTGGCTGTGGCAGCCCAAACGTCGGTTTCCCTCGGGGAACTCTCCAAGACGTTGGAGTACATCAACCTCTAACTGGTTATTGGTTTTCGCTCATTGCAAAGTTTCTCTCAATTTAAACCATGTTTGCCCCACTGTCCTCGGGGGTTTTTAGTGTTCAATGATGTGGCTGTCCCGCTCACACAGCCTACACGGCCGGCAGCTGCACAGTGGGCTGCTTGGGTGCATCCCAGTGTGCCTCGCAGTAGTCAACCAATTGATTCTCGGCTTTGCTCAGGCGCTCCTCATCCTGGTCGGCTGTCCAGGTCTTCTGTATCAGGCAGCACGACTCGACCGTCTCCTGGCCCAAAATGCGGCTCAGCTTGGTGGCATCGTCCACTTTGATCACGTAGATGTCGTTCTCGTAGCAGAAGGCCTCCAGCAGCACCTCGTGCATGTGGGTGGCAGAGTCTCCGTCCTTGGGCACGGCCATCAGGCAAAAGAGGGAGCCATCCGGTGACTTGGACAGCACGTTGATGGCGGCGGACAGGCCCACGATCACACGCGACTCGTCCTGGGCCCTGAGAAGGGCCGATTTGACGGTGCGCCCAATGGGGGCACACTCCATGGGCAATTCCATGTCCAGCTCCATGTCCAGGTGGTGCATTGTGCAGTTCTGATCGACGACCATGTTGCTTAGGTATTCCAGTGGCTGCTGCAGTTCTTGCTCTGGCGAAATTATATTGCGGCTTGGCGGCACTTGATCAATTTTTGTAGGCTCTTTTAGCACTGTGTGGTTTTGGCTAGTCTCTTTTTGACTTTTTTGCTTGTCACTGGCTGGCACTGATTGTTGTTGTGGGTTTTTGTTGTTGCTTGTTGTAGCGTTTGGATTAACTTTTGATTATGAAATTCTTTTCACGTTTTGTGTGTGGCACGCTTTGCGATCCGCTCTCAACCGTTATTTCCCGCTGTTTCAATTTTGATTTGCAATTTCACAATGAATGCCCCAACCGGGCGAACGCGAGCTTTTATAGCTGTGCTCTCCGAAACGTGCGTTTCCCATTGAATTTCATCAGAAACGAACGAACGAGCGAGAGAGAGAGAGCGAGCGCCAACGAACGAACGAATGGCAGAGAGGAAGAGTGAGAGCAAGAGAGCTTTCTCATGGGGGCTCACTTCACACACATGGACACTCTCTCAGTCTTGTTCTCTTTTCACGCCTCTCTCTCACACCATTTTTGCATCGCTCATCGAAAATCGGTAATTTTTTCACTGGTAGGGAAAAGATTTCCGTTCATTTCGGGGCAATTAGCAAGTCTTGGAGTTTCTTTCCATGGGTTGCAACTGCAGTTTGTCGCGCCTTGGATCACGCATCGAGGTCATACAACTTCGGAAGCGCTCTCCCACTCTACTCACACACACAGGCACACGCACCTGTCTGGCCCAAAAGTGTCTCCCTTAATTTAAGAGTCTTCTTTTTTAATATTTTTCAGCAGAAAAAGTAATTTTGATTGAAACAAAAGGTTGCTCAGCGAAATTCGGGCAAACTTGTATGATTTCCCACCATTTTCCTGAACACTTTTTACCGGGAAATTAGTGGATTGGTCATGAACCATTTGGCACTAGGCCAAAAAGGCATTCAACAGGTTCTTGCTACTGTCACCGGGTACGGACCCCTGTGACGTCTGTGTTTAATGCGTTGTTTTGGCCAACGCGACGATGGTGCTGGGTGTCTCAGGCATGATTAATTAACGACCTTTCTTATTGAAAACGAAATGAGTTCGAGCTAAATTTATTTCTGTTCTGGTTTTCGCCCGAAGTGCAGCGAACGAACGAGAGCGGGTAACGCCTCCTCATGCTCCTTCTTGTACTCGATTATTTGCTCTGCTTCGGACACCAGACATTGGAACAAACATGGGAGCAGACCACGAACAATACAATGGAAGCTGCTAATCAATTTATCGCATATCCGTGTGCTCCCTGTCCATCGCATCGATATTTGAGCACGTGGGAACGTGTCGAAAATTTATATAAATATTCACGCGAAATTTTGATCAATTGAACCTCGCTGAACGAGGGAGCGAAGAAACTACGCCATTTGGTACCGTTTCCCCAGCCATCACCCCCCTGGGGGTTCAACTACCGCGCACATATTCCCAGTCCCGTTAATGCACCTTTTAATGAATTATTTGTTTACTTTGGATTTGTGATGGGTATTATGGTATTTTGGGGAAGCTTGGGACCTTATAAATTCTACACATTCGATTGGTTATGGTCGCGATAAAGTGGCCTTAAGTATTATTCAGAAAAATGCTTCGAAATGTCTTTGAAGAAAGTTCTAAGAAATAAATAAAAATATGTAAATGAAATCCTGCAACGCTCCCTCCATTAGGGTATCAGTTAAGTCGACCCTACAGCTTGTTTTCACATTCTTTATGGTTGTGGGGGTTGGGTTTTATTTCGTTTCGGGCTCATCGAAGGGTTTTTTGCACAGTTTTTGTTTGTGTCGAATAACAAGTTTTAAAAATACATTGAAACATTTATAAATAAATAATTAAATGTGTTATTACACATGTAAATGGGTTGAACAAACTGCTGACAGTGCGGCCCACTAAAATGCTACAGGGTATGGATCATTAAGAGGAGATTTGGAATGTGAATGTTGAATTACTGTGACCCCTACCTTGAATGCCAAAACAACCCTTAAAAATATGTTTTTACTGATCATTTCTATATTAAAATGAAAAACCATTTATTCAGTCCCAACTGTAGCTACTGGATTCAAAGCCCAGCAATTCACACAATAATGCAAAAATTTCTGCAAGAGTTTAATGAACTTCCTGGAAACAGAACCTGCCCGCTCCTCTTGTAATTTGAATTGGCTCAAAAACAAAGTTGAAAAATATAAAACAAAACTACAAAAATATATATGTGGATTCAATGAACTGTTTTTGGCATCAAGTGAACTTTCCGCACCCTCTTTGGGGTTCCCCCGCCAAATACTGACCTATGCAAGTGCACCGAAAAACATAAACAATTTTCACTGCTTACTCGGCGCTAACATGGAACTACAGGGGAAGCGCAGTTCTATGGGAAACTGCGCATTCAGCTCTGAATTTGCGCTCTTTTGCCGACTCAAAAGTGGCCAATGAACCTCCAGTTAGGGGCGATCCATCGCCTGTTATTGTGTGTGCAACATGCCAGCGGCACATGGGTGCCAAGGGTGTCGGATGCTCTCGCCTTACACAGTGATCGATGCATGGCTGTGGCTGCCACTCGCTGGTGGGATGCCTCCGAATGCCCAACTGCTGAGTCACGTCGCCGCAGCACTAAATCTGGCCTGGCCCACAGCCCAAATGAGTCAAAGCCAAAGAGCCGAATCGAGTGCGTCTTTGGGCGATTGGCGGAGCTCTTGACGGGGCTCTTGACGACCGAACTGGTTTTGGAGAATTCCCCTGAAAAACTCCGCTGCATTGAGCCACATTTGGCTTTGAAAGACGTTCCAAAGTCCGATACAGTGCGACATGCAGCCAGTCACCCGTCTCTCGCGCGTCTCTCTCTCGCCTCACGTGCACCGGTCGGGCGAGGTGCTGCACTGCTGCAATTATGTATGCGATGCAGCGTCTATGCTGGGGGATTTCCCATTTATCGTTGGCTGCAGGGAAAACCCGCCTGTGCACAAGAATTCTCCGCTGAAAATCCCCAATACAAATAGTTTGTGGTTTTTTTTGTGTATAGCCTTCGTTTTGGTACTTTTTGTTTTGTAAAAAAAGAGTAAAAAAAAGTTTATCTTAAGCACGAGGAGAGTGGTTCCCTCTGCCACCGAAATGAAAGCTTTATCTGTTCTGTTTTTTAATGGTGAAATATTTGTGTTTAGTTTCGAAAGCTTGTGAAATTTTCAATGTAGGCTTCGAGTTTGTATAAATTATAAAAAAAACACTTTCCATATGTATAATAAATTAAGAATTATTTTTTGCATGCAAAATATTTTGTGGTGAAATTATATTGATTATTTTGAAGCGCTTGCGAAATACTTTTTGTGCCTGTGAATCATTTATTAAGTTAATAAATGTCAAATAATATTTCCATATTCTTACAGTTTAGTTTTACGTTCATTTATTTCCACTTGTTGCTTTTGCACTCCCTTTTGCCAGAACTTTCGCAGCTGCACTTTCAAATCTTCAACGGATTTTAACCGTTTCGTTAAGCTTTCGGCTGCGTGGCAGCTCTGTCTAAAGTTTGCCCTCCCGCTCTCTGCGCTCACAGTCGGAAGCTTTTGTGTTTGTTTTGCCGGCGAAAAGAGCTTTCGCTTGCTCAGCGTCTGCTTCTTACCCAAACAAGAGCAGCTGTTGCCAGGGCTGCAGGCGTGAATAACTTTATATAATCCGCACTAGAATAATTCCAACGCATAAATTAAGAAATAAAGTCATTAGCTATAATAGACGGCATTTCCAGTTGAACTTTCAAAGCAGCAGAGAGTCATTAGCTACGCAGAGAGGCAGAGCGGAAGGCTTATTACACAACACGGACAGCCGGGCCCGCAGGTAGAGCGAGCCAAAAGCTTCTTTTCAAAGTCAAAAGAACAAAAGAACAAAATGAGCAGAGAATTTGCAGCGAAAACAGCCACAACAGTGGAGTATTTTGTGCCAAAGTGAACAAAGAAGTTGAAGTTGGATTTCCAATGATTGCTCTGTGACTGGGATAAGTGGGAAACCCACACGACGGAGGCGGCAGCGGCAGCGACAGAGACAGAAACAGAAACAGCGACTGTCATGATATAAAAACACAGAGCCAAACCGGCTCCGCCACTCAGTTCGCGTCTCGCTGGTCGGGGCGAAAGTTACGGACGGCACACGAAGAATCTCCCAGCATCGCTACAGATCGGACTCAGCTGTTGGCCCGTCCACAAATAGAGCACAGAGCAGGCGGAAACCGGCAGCACAGTAAATCAAATGTGTGACGACGTAGAATCGCGAAAAGTACCCGCTCCACGCTAATTTGCGAACCGAACACAATGGAGTACCTGAGCTATGTTTATGAGAAATTATTCGGCGGCAATGCCCCAGACGATGACACGCAAGGGCGCTGCCACACGTAAGTTGGGAGGAAATCGCACTGGGAAAGCTCAGCGCTAATTTTCCTTTTTGGTTTTTCCCGTTCTCTCAGGCCCCGCAAAGTCGTGTGCTTTGGCAATGTTTTGCTGGATCGTTTGGTCAAGCTGGAGGATCCGGAACTGCTGCAGCGCTACGATCTGCAGCTGGGCTCCAAGGGGGAAATGGAGCTGGAGAAACTCAACAAACTAGCGCTCGAAGCGGCCGAGAGGTAAGAGTTAGCTTCGCTCTTCCTCAGAATATCTTCCATAAAGTTATCTTTCCGACAGCTCCCAATGCCTGACCAAGCCCGGTGGCTCGGCCTTGAACACCGCGCGCATCCTCAAGCAACTGGGCACGGATCCCACGTTCTTTGGTGCCGTTGGCGCGGACAAGCATGCGGAGGAGCTGCGTTTGATCTTCCGGGAGCGTGGCATTGAGGCGCGACTGCAGACCATCGAGTCCACGCACACGGGCCAGTGTGTGTGCCTCATGTACGAGGACAATCCCACGCTCTATGCGAACATTGGCGCCTCTGCGCAGTTCTCGGTGCAGGCACTGAGCCAGGCGGCCATCCACGAGGGGCAGTCCTTCCTGCGTCCCCTCGAACGCAAGCAGATCCTCTACGTCGAAGGTTTCTTTGTGCCCCAGTGCGCCGATGTCTGCGACTACATTGTGGAGAATCTGGTGCGGAATCGTCGTCGCCTGGCACTGAATCTCAGCGCTCCGTACATCGTGCGGGGACATGCCCAGACCATCCTGAAGCTGGCGCGGCACGCCTTCTTCCTCTTCGGCAATGGACAGGAGTTCGAGGAACTTGCCGCCGCTTCCGGCTCGCCGAGTGTGGACCAGTTGGCCGAGCAACTGCTGCGGGAGGGCCAAACCCGCGTTATATGCATC